GGTTTCGGTTCGTACTCGTAGACGTACTAACTAACCTACTACGTAGGTAGAACGAACGTATAGTAGTAGTAGTTAGTTAGTTCTCTACTAACTACTACCTCCTCCTCTCTCTCTCTCTCTCTCTCTCTCTCTCTCTCTCTCTCTCCATTAAAATCCTGCACGATCAAGGCAATGCTCACGACGGAGCTCTTTCTGTGGTCTTTCTCTTCCCTCAAATTCTTTGTTTTTTTGTCATCACATTCTTCTCTATTCTGTAATTTTTCTCAATTGCTATTTTCTCTTTGTTCATTTTATTTGAATTTTGATGTGTTAGCCAGTGATGATGTTAATACTTACATCCATTGCCTACATCGTTTGATTTTCAAGATGATAACACATGCATAACATCTGAGGCTGCCCTTCTAATGCTCTCTCTCTCTCTTCATTTTTCCTTCTTATTAATGGAAAAAGATGACTTTCTCTCTCTACATTTCTCCTTATTATTCATAGAAAAACATGAAATTCAGAAGAAAACCACCCTCTTTTTACACTTCTACTGCCCTTTCTCTCTAAGAGAAATAATCTAATCTTCTTTTCTCTGAAGCTATTTGATTCCATCATCTTCCTCTTCGCATGGGTTTTACTTTCTGTTGATTATATGTAATAGAAATTGAATTAGAACCTTAAAACCGTAAATAGTAATTATAAACATCATCAAAATTCTATGAAATTTGGAAGGAAAAAAAACATAAAAGATAGATTATGGAAAAAAAAATGATTTATAGCTTGAAGTAATTCAGAAAAATCTTAAAAAAAGGGATAATGACTCCCTCTTCGGTGTATGTGTGTGTGCGTTTCTTCCATGTGTAGTTATGTATGTGTAGTTATGTATTTGGTGTTTTTGTTTGTTTCTGCTTTTTTTTGTTTTACGACAAATTTCGATTGGGCTTTGTTGTGAACCAGTTATTTTTTAATTATTTCTTTGATTCCCCATAAAAATTTTACAAAATAGATACACCTGGGATTATTATTCATTTATTTAACTGGATCATTTGCGATAATCAGCTATTGTCAAGTTTATATCATGCTTCTATGTGATACTTTTTTCCTTTGTGATTGATAAATTATAAAATTTGATCTAATTCATGAACCTCATCATATGAAATGCCGGTTTAATCAATTTTAAATTTTTGTTTGCTATATGCTAGAGTGCACGGATTTAGTGTGATGTAAATGAGACATTATTACAATTCTTTCCTTCTATTCTTGCATGATCAGCTATTGCCTAATTTTATGTTATCTAGTATTATGTCATAATCACCAGAAGTGGAAAGTGCTTGTGTTTATGCACTATTCACAAGGTACAAAAATGTTTCTATTGTGATTTGGGAGCCAGAAGGCTAGCCACTTAAGTATGTGTAAGGAATTTTGCTGGTTAGATGTGAGATTTTAATAAAACCGGTTTAGTATTTGATCAGTTATGAAACTTTAGATGATGTGAAATGATTCCTTTTTGGTTTTCAGGAGTTAGGGCTTAAAAGACGTGCAGTTTAAGACTTCATTCAGTCGGCCCTGACACGAACACCATCAGAAAAGTACAACCATCACTCTCATCCCTACCACCACCACCAGCATTGCATTGATACCACAGCCATTGTCACACTATACCATCACTATATATCATCACTACTCTTACCACCAAATGCAATATAATAACATGTAGTTCAACTATACTAAAATATATATATTCATGATATTAAATTTTTTTTTTTAATTTTAAAATTTTTCCAGATTGCCAATTTGGACCGTATTGGTAATTTAGCAATCTGACATTGATTTATAGGGTGGGCAATCCACCTCACGTACCTAGATTTTGAAACAAGTTCAAATTAAGATAATCAAACTACCATATAGAGCAAATGATAATTCATCAGATTGCCATTTTGTCCATTATGAAGTGAAAAAGGCACCATTTATTAGAATTTTGCACTCAATTTAAATCTTTTAGCTGGAGCCCCTTCATGGCACAAGATCACCTAATGCATCAAAGCATTGTTAGGAAGATGACCAAAACTAGTAGAATGGGGGCTCTTATTAGAAATCTTAAAATGTATGGGTTTTGGTTTTAAATGGAGAAGTTGGATGTTTGGGTGTTTTTCCTCTGCCCTCTTCCAAGGTAGTTTGGCTGGTTTTTTTCAAGCTACTTGGGGTCTTCGCCAAGGGGATCCCATATCACCCTTCTTATTTACCATTTTTGCAAAGTGTTTTAGTTTGATGTTGTGTAATGTGGAGATGAAGGGTCAGTTCTCAGGATTTGAGATTGTGAATTCGGGATTGATAATCTCCCATCCACAATATGTAGACGATACTCTTATTTTTTGTGATGCGGATCCTAGGCAGATTAAAAACATTGCAAGATTTTTAGAAATTCATGAAGTCACAATTGGTTTTAAAGTGAATTTGCATAAATCATTTCTATTGGGTCTTAATTATTGTGAGGCTGTAATTGAAACTCTTGCCAAGGTTATGGGGTATAATGTGCGTTCTTTTCCCCTTCTTTATCTTGGCTTACCCATTTTAGATTCACGTTTTCCTATATCAGTTTGGGATAGGGTTGTGGAGAGTACAATGTAAGCTTGATCTTTGGAAATCAAAGTACCTTTCTTTTGGTGGTAGGGTCACGCTTCTGAGCACGTGCTTGGCCAACCTTTTAATTTATCAGATGTCATTGATCAATATGCTAGCTTTGATTGCTAGAAGGATTGAAAAGATGGTGAGAGATTTCCTTTGGGGCTTTGATGGCCCTTATCGCAGATTCCATTTACGGTGGTGGGATAGGGTGCACCCCAAAGAAGAAAGGTGGTTTAGGTATCAAAAATATAAATTGGTTAATCAATCTCGTAAATGGTGGTGGAGGGTATTAAGTCCTCCTTGTTAAGTATGGTATGGGTAGATCGGACATTTGGATTGGCTGAGGTACTGGAAGGGAGATTTCTCAGATGTGAAGGCATATTGTGCATGTTTGGCCCACGGTTGCAGGCTATTTTAGATGGTCAATTGGGAATGGGAATGATGTTTCCTTTTGGCATCATAGGTGGGTGGGTGATTATATACTCAAAGTCTTTCTTCCCAGATTTATTTGCTATTGCCTTTGATCGCAATGCTAAGGTATCTCATATGGTTGAGAGAAGAGGAGTATCTTTAGCATGGAATCTCCCCTTGAGGTATTACCTGGGTGAATAATAATCTATTTTCACAGTGGTGTGCGCTGATGGCAGTACTTGATAAAGCCTATATTGCATCCGATGCAAAAGATGAAATGGTTTGGGCAATTGAAAATGACGGTGTCTTTAACTGTTAAGTCATGCTACAACCTTATTTTTCATGATCGATGGAGGTGGTCTTACCCCCAAATTGCCACTATTTGGAAGTGGCCCATACCCCGTAAAGTGCAAGTTTTTATCTGGTTGGCTGCACTTAATAAAATCCTAACTATCGACAATCTGATTAAAAAAGGTAAAGTTTTACCAAATGTTTACTAATTTTGTAAGGCTGACGGTGACTCTATTGCGCATCTGTTTTTACATCGCTCGGTTACACGCCAAATTTGGTATTGGTTGCTTGGATTGGTCAATACCAATTTGGCCCTACCACTTGCAGTTGATGGGATTGTTACACAATTGTCTTTATTACGATGGTAAGGCTTTGTGGTGTATAGCAAAAGGGGTGATCCTATGGGAGATATGGAAAGAAAGAAATATGCGGACTTTTGAAGGTATTTCCCTTTCCTTAGATTGTTTGATCCATTCAATCAAGTTGTCTATATGGTCGTGGATATCTGTTTCTAAAGAAGGTTGGCGAACATCCAGGATCGATGGTTTGGCTAATTTGGGCAATCTCTTTCGTCTTGGTACCTTTAGCAGTCGATCAAAATTAAGTTGGGTTGCCCTCCCATTGGGTACTTTAAAACTTAATTTTGATGATAGTTCCCTTGGGAATCCTGGAAGGGCGGCAGTTGGTAGAATGGTAAGGATTCTTGTGGCAATACTCTTTTTTGGAAGGGCTGCAGTTGGTAGAATGGTAAGGATTCTTGTGGCAATACTCTTTTTTCCTTTGCAAGGCCAATTGGATGTGCAACTGCAAACCACTGCAAACCATGTTGAAATGTAGGCTCTTTATCATGGTTTGAAGACTTTTAGGGAAAGAAACTGTGGGGATATGTGTTGGATTGAAGGGGATTCACTTAATGTCATTAAGTGGTGCAAGAAGGAGCAACGGGTTCTTTGGTATCTTCGTTTACTTTGGTTATGTATTATGGACTTGTCTGTTCCCATCTCGGTTATCTTTTCACATCTCTATCGAGAGGCTAATTCGATTGCTGACGAGCTGGCTAAAAGGGGTGCTCTTTTACTTTCTTTTTTAATATCTGATAATGTAATTTCCTATTCATAGTGCTAATATAAGTAGTAACATTTGTCAAAAAAAAATAAATATCTCATGTATTATTTTTTATAGGAATTGTCATAAAATGTACAAAAGGGGATGAACAATTAAACATGAATAAACTTAGGAAACAATGACTATTATTTCTTGTATGAGGAGATCATAATCATTATTGGTCATTAGATGTGAAATCTAATTGTTTAGATTGTGTTATTGATTATGCACATAGTTTAAATAAAATTTCTTAAATGTTGGGATGCATTTAAATTTATTGGGTTTCATATTCGATGATTAAAATTGATTGTGATTTTTTTTTTGTCAAAAGTGAAATAGTCTTATTTTATACAATCTCATAAGTTGGGATTGTATAATATAAGATATTATTTTTTATAATAGGAGGTCACAATTATTATTTTTAATCATTGGATGTGAAATTCAATAGATTGAAATGTATCACAATATTTGAGAAATTGTATTTGGATTTTGTGTTCAATCAATGAAATATCTTTAACCACTTGATTTAACATCTAATCGGTAATAGTGATTGTGACATTCTTGTAAGGAAATGGTTTTATTTTATACATTTCCATAAATTTAATGGTATTTTATACATTTTCATAAATTTAATGGTCGAATAAATACTTTGATGATAAAGTTTAGCTTATGTTTTGCCCATAAAAAATTTATTCTACTGTTAAATATGATTTGGGGAGGGAATCAATTTGGTCGATGCGATAAACTAGTTGTTTTATGGATAAATTTAGTTTCGGATTTTGTGCAATGAGATATTTTATTTTTAATACAAAAAGTCAGCAAAGGTATACAATTCACTGTTGGGGTATGTCTTTTTATTGAGTTTTAAAATTATTCTCTTAAGAGTTCAATCATTTATATATTTCCAACTGTTAGATGTTACGTTAATGGTTACGAGTAATTTTGATCAATTTACCAAAAACAAATGATATTTGAATTTAATTTTATATTTATCAAGATCTTGATGGCAATAATATGTATTTGAACTACAGATGTCATTAAAAATGGCCAAGTAAAAACTAAAAAGTAAGAGCTAATAATGATTATTGCCTTTTAACCAATGGTTTAAAAAACGGATCGGTGACCCGGATAGGGCTTCCAAAAAA